AGCTCAAGCAGATAAGCGGTGCTAGTCTTGCTATGAAAGTCGAGTGGAATATGCAGAAACTAGGACAGTGGGCCTCCACTCTGTCCAATATGCAAGCTGCCTCGATCCCGAAGCGGTTCGTAAGAATTCCGTAACATATATCAGGCTGCTCAGTCCATTCACCTGTAATAGTGTACAGCAAATTCTCGCTCATTATCAGGCTCCCGGTCCCTTCTCCTTGGAACTCACCGGTGCCGTCATGCGTCAGGCATCATTCGTCCAGAAGATGGTCGGCATGGGTTGGACCGAGCCAGGGCGTTTCTCGACAGACCCAAGTGTGCTACTACGCGCAATCGCTCGCTACCACGCCTTCTTAGATCTGACGTCGTCGGCGCCGTCACCGTTCTTTGTGCCAACCCTGGTGAGCGTACACGGTACCTCCGAGTGATCAACTTGGACTGACACCATATTAGGATATCGACATTGCCTGGCACACCCACCAACTTAAGGCTAGAAACTACAGGTGAAATTCTAGAGAAAATACTCTGTCTGGAACCTGATGATTATCTGCAGGGAGGATACACTGTCGCTTCTCGAACGTCAGCTTGATCACAATGACAAAGTCGAAGAAGGCATGCTCTCAAACTCATTCGATCTAACTGCTCAGGCATGGCAGGTTAGTATTTGCCTCATCACAACTGTCGATGCGACAATTTTAAATCCATCTCTCAGCGTCGTTTTGGTGTCCCATACTCCGTCTGCGGATGCGTCGCTCCCTCCTCCGAGTCCAGTACCACTCGTACAATGATCTGTGGCATCAAGAGTCTTCTCCCTGGAGGATCTTCGAAGAAGTCTGACCCTGCAAGTTTGCAACAACCGAAGAACAAAAGACCGGATCTCGTGACACTGGCCGACGGCGACGAGGACGCGACGCACCCATCCGAACACAATTCGGTCGTCGTCCAGGCCACCGACCAGGCAGCCAAGCAAGCCGCTCGTCGCAAAAGCACGACGAGCTGCTCGATCAGCGTGCCAAACAGGTCGAGCTGGGCAAAGCCGACCCGTGGGCGGTCTTGCAGCAGCGCCGGGCTGTGAGGCGGCGCGAGGAAGAGGCGGCACACGATGCGGCATTTTACTATCCGATGGGGTACTGGGGTGTCGCGCCGTTTCCCTACGGCTACTACGGCTACAGCGGTGCAGCGTGCGGTACAGGCGGCGGCGCAGTCATGGCTGCTGATGACGACGACAACTTTATAAGTGCGGTGCGTACGACGTCCATTCATGTCTTACTGGATCTGATTTGATTACTACTGAAGGTCTGTGCTATTGGAGCAGCTTCTTGCGTTGGTGGTGGCTGTGGTGGTGGTTCATGCGGCGGAGGCGGCTGTGGAGGCGACGGCGGTGATGGTGGCGACTGACTGAACACATTCGTGACGGGATCCCGCGAGAATCGTGTTATCGAAGATGTACGCATTTGATTGAAAGTTGGAGATGAACGCAGTTCCGCAACATTTGAGTCTTCAGTCATGGCGTGCACGACCACGTCAATGCAAGAGAAAAGATCGGGGGCAAAGGCGGGGCAGACTCAGAAGTTGACGAAAGCTTTCTCGTCAAGCGTCCAACGCCGGTGGAAAGTGTCCTGTTCACTAGTTTTGTTGTTCCCGCAGCAGCAACTCCCAGATTCCGTGATGCCAGAACCGTTTCAAGACCATACGCGCGCACTTCTATCATCTGACACACCGGGTTTCTCGAGCTCAATGGTCTTTGGCTGCGCAGCAGGAGCATGTTATCTCTGGCAAGGTTTCCGACCACGGCCCTTCGCATGTGTGCTCGACGTGTCGCGTTTGGATGGGCGTAGAACGGCTCACCCTGCAACGCGACCGGAATCCAACGGAAGTGAAATTTGTCGAGCTACTAAGTTTTGCTGCCAGTGAGATATTAGTACTTCATCTTACATCCTAGCCCAGCCCCGAATATGCCGGAGCTGTATCGTCAATGAGCGACACTAAAGCCAGTCATGTCCTTGTAGTGGCATGCTGAGGTGCCTGGCAGCTTGCGTTTGAACCGGTCCAGGTTACTCAGCGCCCAAGTCACGTGGTACCAGGGCACGGCGCAATGAGCGCTTCTCTGACGATTCCGGTACCTGCAACGGCCCTGACTAGTACGATGGATGCGCGAGTCCGCAGCGCGCTAAGCCACGGATATAAATAGTCGCGACCCCGCGTCCGTCCAAGTTGTCAATCGCCGCACCATGTCTTCCTTCTTCCCTGCTGACAAAAAGACCCCACTCGACGACGGCACGGAGCTCCCGCCACCTGGCTATGGCACGACGTTGCCCGAGACGTTCCCAGTCGGATCGAAGAAGACACGCCCGGTAGTGTCGGTGGACGAGGTCAACGCGCACCTTGTGCTTCTCGGCGCGTTCAGCAGACTCAAATCGCGCGTGGGACTTGCGAACGATACTCACAACGAGTCCTCTCCTATTCGGCTAGAGGAGCAGGATGCCTGGACGGTGTTCCTTTGTCGCGCCGTCCATCGATTCCAACTTTGGATCTCGAATGTGCACGAGCTGCCACAGGAAGGGTACATTCCACCATTGGACGTCCTGATGGTGTGGCACTCGTATCTTCTCGTGAGTGTCTCGCCTTTGCTTAAAACATAACCGTTGATATCACCGTCATTGTAGAACCCGTTCACTTTGAAGAGGATTCAAAGCGGTTTCTTCCACGTCTCGGATTTCTCGAGTCAGTTGCGAATCTTATTCGTGTAAGGAGGAGGGAGACACTGACTCTGCCAAAGCACCTTCCCGCTTCACGCCATTGCGAGCCTACTCAACCTCGAAACTATGGAGCTCGAGGTCTCAGATCAAGTACGCGAATGTTTTGAGCGAGGCACTGCCGAGTCATGGCACCCTCCTATCGTCACGACTCCTGGAGACCAGCTCGAAATCACCTGTCCATGCTGCGTGCAAGTGACAATTCTCAGGTGGCAGTGGCTGCGACCGGATGGCAAAGGTTGGGCACAGCGGCGGTTCTCCGCGTCGTGCCCGACCTGCCAGCAATCGTTCAACCACGAGGTTAGACTTCCGAATACCGAACAAATATATTGCATGGACTGATGACCTACTTTCCAGGCGTTTGGTGTCCGCAAGTTCTGCGATGAGCTCGTTATGTGGAGAGACGCCACGGTCAACAAAACCCCCCACGTGGGTCTCGCGTACGTACGCTCCGTCTTAGCCGTCGGAAATGGCCTGGTCTTAACGGTTTTCGATTCCTCTTAGGGGAACACAGGTCCCTGCTCTTGCGCAAGCTCGCTCTGCTCTCCTGATGCGACAGCTCTTTAGCGTCAGTTATCACCTCACGGTAAAATTAGACGATGATACTAATACTGTTTTCAGAACATGATTCATGCCGTCGACCTCAACCAGATAACTGGTGCCGGTCTCGCTATGAAGAACGAGTGGAACATGAAGAAACTCGCAACCTGGGCGTCGACCTTGCCCAACGTACGGGTGGCCTGGATCCCGAAGCGGTTCGTTAAGAATTCCTTACCATACACATATATATATCAGGTTGCTCATACCTTCCCCCTATTTCAGTGTACAGCGCATTCTTTCTCACTACCAGGGTCCTGGCCCTTTCTCTGTGGAACTCACCGGTGCCGTCATGCGTCAGGCATCCTTCGTCCAGAAGATGGTCGGCATGGGTTGGACCGAGCCAGGGCGTTTCTCGACAGACCCAAGTGTGCTCCTACGCGCGATTGCTCGCTACCACGCCTTTTTGGACCTGATGTCGTCGGCGCCGTCATCGTTCTTCGTACCAACCTTGGTGAGTATACACGGTCCGAACTCATCAGCTTAAGAACTAACACCATCTTAGGATATCGATATTGCCTGGCACACCCACCAGCTCAAATCCGGAACTATAGGTAAACCCCATAGCCGACCCACCTCAGTCGGAAAACCTGACGTTCTCGTTCAGGGAGGACACTATTTTGCTCCTCCGCCGTCAGCTCGATCACGATGACAAAGTCGAAGAAGGCATGCTCTCAAATGCGTTCGATCTCACCGCTCAGGCATGGCAGGTTAGTACTTGTGCCTCATTCCCGCTGTCAAACGCGGTAAACCTCTTACTCGTCTCGTCTCTCCAGCGTCGCTTTCGGTGTGCCATACTCCGTCTGCGGATGCGTCGCCCCCTCCTCCGAGTCCAGCACCACTCGTTCCATGATCCGCGGTCTCAAGAGTCTTCTCCCCGGATCCTCAAAGCAGCCCGACAACCCCGGCACCCTGCAGCAACAACCGAAGAACAAGCGACCGGACCTCGTAACGCTAGCCGACGGCGACGAAGACGCGACGCACCCGTCCGACCACAACTCGGTCGTCATCCAAGGCACCGGCCAGGCGGCCAAACAAGCCAACCGCCGCATGAGGCACGACGTGTTGCTCGATAAACGCGCCAAACAGGTCGAATTGGGCAAAGCGGACCCGTGGGCGGTGTTGCAGCAACGTCGGGCTATGAGAAGACGCGAGGAGGAGGCGGCACACGATGCGGCGTTTTACTACCCCATGGGGTATTGGGGCGTGGCGCCGTTTCCGTACGGCTATTACGGCTACGGCGGCGCGGCGTGTGGGTCCGGCGGCGGCGCGGTCATGGCTGCCAATGACAGTGGGAGCTACGCGGCGGGCGGCGCAGTGCGTACCAACACCAAGTACTCTCCGAAGTGACATTGGATCTGATTTTTTGCTTTGAGATGTGTGGTGTTGGAGGAGCTAATTGTGGAGGAGGTGGTGGGTCCGCGTGCGGCGGTGCGTGTAGTGGAGGCGGAGGGAGCAGTTGTGGAGGTGGCGGCGGGTGCGGCGGTGGAGGTTGTGGCGGTGGAGGCTGCGGCGGCGGCAGTTAGGCAAAGTCATTCGAACCAATACTATGTAATCTGTATCGTCGCACATGTATACTTTGTGTAATTTTGCTGAAGGCTAATCTTTTACCGGATATGGATGGCGAGCGGCACCGCTTGTGCATCAAGGCTGTATAGTGTAGTGGTTTAGCACTTGGGATTTTGATTTCAATTAAAGTTCCCACAACCCGGTTCGAACCCGGGTACGGTCACTGTTTTGTCGCCTCCCAACTCACGCTATGGCGTGCATCTTATCTATGCATCTGTTAGCACGTTGAATCTCCGGACTGGGCCAAGCCCGTTTCTTCCTGCTGCTGCTGACCGCCTTGCCTTTGTTTCAATCTTATCGCAACCTTACTTATTTTGGTTGTGATTGTTGAGAGCGTCAACTACCTTGGCGTGATGTCGGAGAACGGCCACATGGTCTCGGTGCCTCAGCAACCGATCTATAGTCCGCGAAGCCCAGCATGTGCAGGTCCTGTATTACTCATGCAAATTCCTTCGTTCTTAGCTACCGCTGACTGAATCTCGGCCGAACAAGCCCCTGTAGACGTCGTTGTCTCTTGGCCTCCGCCGTCCTTGATCATGGCTCTCACACGCACCGTGCTCGCCATCGCACCGCAACACGACCAGCTCACCACCGAACTAGCACTCCTCGACAGCCTTGTTCCTGAGCTTTCCCTGGCCGAAGCTGAAATCGAAAAACTTCGCACCCGTGCCATTGATGAGGAGCTTCGCATAGCGGCGGCTCGTCGCAAACTACAACGCGAGTGGAGAGCCAGCGTCGCTGACCAGACCGCCATCACCACCAACCGGGTTCAGAAGCTCGAGATCGTCCAGAAGATCGCGCCCACGCCCAAGCCGGACGAGACGCTCCTACGAGGCCATCCGTACGTCTTGGCGGCGTCAGGTCACGCGCGCGCGCTGACATGCTTGACATGTGTGTACCCACAGCGAGTATATCACTTCCCTTGGCGAGCTTACCGTCCAGGAGGAAGCCATTGGATCTATCCGACGAGAAGTGGCCGCGAGCACAGATCGCGTGCGTGACAACATGGCGTTGCGGTCCGCGTGGAGCGCGAAGACTGATGAACGCGTGACAGGCCGAACTGTTACGGGTCCGAGTGTCCAGTCGGGATCAAATATTCACCGACCTTGACAAACTATACAAGTTGGTATTCGACGGCCCGACGCCAGGTAAAACGTTGTATACAAAGAATGTATCGAGCCATAGCTTACCGAGAGCGCAGACTTTCCTGAGGACGATGTGCTTGAGTGGCAACTGGCACGCGCAGAAAGCCACCAAAACAGATTCACAGAATTGAGAGAATCGCACAGAATCATGCGCTCTCACTTGGAAACAGCGCTGAATCTGGCTCGTAAACTTGATGCTCATTATCGTGTGGCTGTACGGTGCTGCGAGGATGGTCGTAAGTGTCCCCACCACATCCACCTTCGCATACTCTAAATGTGCGACAGAACATCTTATGGCCTCACTCATGTCAAGCAACGAGAGCAATAGCGTCGAACTGGCAGGGGCCGTGGGTATTTGCCGTTATCTTGTGGGCGAGATAGAGTCTCATGTCCGAGCGGCGAACGACTACGGGAAGGCAAACTCGGGCCGTTCTGACAGTCCCACACTTCTCTCATTGCCTCCCATTGAGGTCCCAACTGGGATCAAGAACGGAAAACTCATTGACTATAACGGTGTGCGGATCGAGTCCCAGATTCCGCTCAAGGACTCCCCAATCTACATGCAGCGCGCTGCTGATACAGCACTGCGTGCGCTCCGCGAAGTCCGTCAGCATCACTTCCCATATACTAAGAGCTCTGACTTTACATCTCAGCTCGAGTTCGTCCACGAACGTGCCAGCAGCCAAGCTTTGCATATCCGTGCAGATCTTGCTGGGGCAACATCAGAGGTCAGGACTCTCAAACTCCAGCTTCACGCTTTGCGGAGGACAATCTTCGAACGCATCGTTGAAGAAAACTTGCCCAAAGAGGTGCCGTCACTCTCGCCTCTCACCTCGGTCGAGTCCACCCAACCGAGCAGCCCTGAGACTGCGAACCCAAGCCTCGGTACTAGTGGAGATATGGTCACTCGAACTGCCGAGGCAGTCATTCCCCCAACCTCTGCCACTAAAGCTGTGGCGCCAGTTGAACCTCCACCAGAGTATAAGAGACACTGAAGGTAGCACGAACGGGATGGTTTGGAAGGTCATGTTGTAATGATATCTGAGTTGAACCCGATCTATCCCACGGCGACTGAAAGCCACACAGACTACGACGAAGGGACCAGTGGCTCGCTCCGACACCATTATCTCACTGCATCGGCCGCCGAGAGCTTCTTTGCGCTTCCCATTTGTGAAGTTTACACTGCCGAAAGGAGATAGCCAATTCGTCAAAGACTGGAAACGTATGAAACAGCAAAACTATATCGGCGCTGAGACTCTAAAAGATGCAACAAATGATTGAGTCATAGCTCGCGAGCGAGATGATGATGAGTTATCCGCGATTTGAGTGAAGTGCATCTGCGAAGTAAGGATCGTCAGAATCTTGCCACCTATGAAGGGTGCTGAATAGAATTTGCCGAGTATAGTGGAGCGCGCAGAATGTGATGATGTGATAGCTAATCAATTGAAGCTAGAGCCAACATATCAGTCAGAAGGGAGGTTTAGATCAAAGTCAAGGCGTGCCGGCAGCGTTGCGTCCAATGCAAAGTCATGTGTCTGCTGAGGCGTCAGCCCTGATGGAGCATCTACTCCTAGCGGAGGATGGAGATTAAAATTTATTACTAGAGGCTGCGCCATGTTGTAGGTGATGCTGCTATACGCGCATCGTAACTGCTTCCCAGCGGATCTGCTCTTGTTGAATACAGACGACCCATTCGTTGAGAACTGAGGACCTAGGCAGAAATACGGCAGCTATATTGATGCGCGATTATCATTATCAAGTTCTGGCTGCACTTTGTGCCCCGTGGCGCGGCGAGTGCGGCCTGCTCGTGTCTTGTGCATTTGCCATCAGCGAGAGTCGCTCTGAGACGGGTGAGTAAATTCGACCCACTATTCTGGGACTCGCGAGACTTCTGAGCCTTAATACCTGACTGGTGCCTTTGGCTGGTCAGGTCTGGTTCCTTTACCCAGCAGGTGCGAGTCCCCGTTCACCGGCACAGGGAGCAGCCGGGCAACCTCAATACGCCGCCGCTCCCGGGCTAGCGAATCAGAGGGAATCCCTGCTACAACACGGCATAGCGTTGATCACATGCCAGCAACTCACTTCCAGTGGAGGTGTTCTCCGACTGTTGAGTTCAGGACACTGCGCCGTTACGCCGGGAGTGGATGTGGCGCGGACCACCCCATATGTCAATGTCAATGTCTCGCTATTGAATATAAAGCAGCTGGAATAGAAACTCCTAGAGCTGTCAACTTGTCTTGAGGCTCCAACACGATGGCGACAGACCACTGTCATTCGCATACACATCCAGTCGAAACGCTGGAAATCGCAGTTTGTGTCTTTACCGACGCTCAGCTGCTTGACTATGGCGGCCCTCTGGACCTCTTCGGCTTTCTCGTCAAAGAGAACCTGCCGAAGTACAACATGCCCATGCCGCCGAAGCTGCTCAAGCTAGTGTACGTGGGGCCGACGAAATCACCCATCCAACCTACGAGCGGACCGCCCATCTTGCCACACGAAACCTATGATGAGGCATTGGCAAGTGGAAAGAAGTATGATGTTGTCTTTGTACCTGGAGGTAGGATACACCGTGTGGCCGTGTTGGTCGAATGAGCGCCCTAACACTCTTGCAGGCGTTGGTACCCGGCCAAACGTCGTCCCGCCATCGCTGGTCAAATTCGTCGCAGCACAGTTTCATTGCACCAAGTACTTCCTGAGTGTCTGCACTGGCGCGTGGGTTGTAGCACAGGCGGGCGTGCTTGAAGGCCGCCGTGCGACCACAAACAAGGCTGCTTTCCGCACCGTTAAGGTAGGAATCTCGCACAAACTCGTATTGGTATGGCTCAGAGAGTTGCAGGCTAGTACAAGCAAGGATATAGACTGGGTCACACACGCACGTTGGGTCGTTGATGGAACGTATTGGAGTTCATCGGGTGTCTCAGCTGGTTCGTATTGCAGCAGATCGCTATGGTCGCAAACTGGCGCTGACATTCTCTTGAACAGGCCTTGATATGGCTGCCGCATGGTTAGAGCATATTGTCGGGCACGACGTCACCCAAAGAATTCTCGCAGGCGCTGAGTACACACCGGCGCAACAGGGCGACGATCCATGGGCCAAGTATAACGGCTTGGAATGACCATAGATACCTTGGCTTGAGTATTGCGCGTATAAGCCTTCAATGTGCCACTATCTCGAGGTCTGAGCAGCTAATGAATACCGCACTGGTCAGATGAACACCAATTGTGAGGAGAATATTCACGATATGCGGTTGAGTGGGGTCAGATCATTGACCTCATTCGACCTTCAGCTTTGTCGCTCTGCCGGTTGAAATGCCGGAAGCTGCAGAAAGCTCAAGATCCGGATTTGAGATCAGCAGGAAGCACAAACTGTCGGCAAAGAGCTGGGGTATAAATCGTTCTAATATGCAGCAGAGAGAACAGTAACCGACCACAAGAACTTGGGCCAGGAGCCTGTCAACCAATGTCGAGGTGAATTTCAACATCGCTGTCTCCATCTGGCCGGGCGTGCCTATGCAGCGCCCACCGACATCCTCGGCGCGCTCGAAGGCTCGAACCGCACTAAGTACTGGATCGAGCTCGGACTGAAGCCACGCCACAAGCAACCCGAGTTCACACAGCCGGCGGGACCCTGTCCAGAGTGAATTCTCTGTACAACCTGTACAGAGGTCAGTACAGTGGTTGTTTGTGGCAGATCGGGGACCGGCCGCCATTGTCTGACCCTCTGTTCATCATCTAGCATTGTCTCTGTACAGCGGCAATCGGATCGGAGAGGACGCTCATTGTCCCACTAACTCGGCCGCCGATGATGCCCAACGAGACGTATGACGAGGTCCTGGCACATGTCAAGCAATATGACGTGGTGCTAGTGCCAGAAGGTAGGGGGATGTATTGGGTCTTCAGTTGAGAGTCGTAATAGATGACTGCGTGCCAACTTGCAGGCGTTCGAGCTTGATCAAGTTCATCGCCGCACAGACTCGAGGGGCCAAGTATGTTCTAAGTGTATCCACTCGGTCGTATG